GTCAGTTTGTGAGCGTGGTTGTGTTCACATAAAAAAAGAAAGCAGTGCCAGACAGAAAGAACCGTGGATACCGGACAGTTCCGGAACATAAGAAATAATAATGTCTGTGGGCGAAAAAAACGGGGTTCATTTTTCAACCGCTTTGTTAGCCCTGGGTCACAGCTCTTACTTCGTTCGCTCAGTGTGCTGTAATCAATGTCATATGTGAATAGACCAGTGCGAATAATGTTGTTTCTTCTCCAGTCTTTTCGTTCTCAATGGCTCCTGAGCGTTATGTTGTACGGATGCATGCGTGTGTGTCTTTCTCTGTTAAAATGGGTATTGATAAAAGGTTTTGCGTGCGTTTATGCTCGTGTCTCTTCATACACACACTCCCGTTCGGGAATCCGATCCACAGAGTTCTTTTTCACCGCCATCATGTTCGAATATGCGATCGATCCATCGGGCAATCAATCAGTCAAATGGCATTCTCTCCGACAGAAAGCGAGTAAGCTAGCGCGTCTGTGTGCGGATGTGCGTGAGAGAGCAACGGGACAGTGAGTCTGGAGAGCGTGACAAGGATCGAGAGAGAGAGAGAGAGAAAGAGAGGGACAGAGACAGAGAAATAGAGAGTTGGGTTACATGAGGAAGAATTGGAAATGTGGAAACAATCAGTGACTCGAATCAGGCAAATCGATGTAGATCTTCTAGCGCTTCCGATTGGGAACGAGAATTAGTTCAGTTCTTGAGCAAACCGGATTCTACAGTCTAGATAAAATGAACCACGCCCGTGAACACAATGGTTCGACAATGTTGTGGTTTGACAATCGAACTGGTGGACAGACGCATATGGTGTGAGAATCTTGTGCATGAATATAGGAGGGACGCTGACGGGACCAGGAGTAAATGGGTACGCGGGGGGTGGGGGGAGCGAGGGGGAGGGGCATGGTGGACAAAAACAGATTTAGAATTAACAGGAAGAAGAAATTTCACTTGGATAGATCGACAGTTAGGTGTGATGTGTCGGCAGCAGTACTTTCAACAGTTCATCTTGAGCTCCATGTGTCAGTGTGAATGAGTGTGTGTGTGTGTG